TTTGCACCTTCAGAGCCACTCATACCAAACTGGTCAATGGTTAGAGGCCAGACAAACTCAGCCTCCTGGTCGTCCAGTTTAGGGGTTGAAATGAGCGTGGCACCTTATTCCTTAAAACGGACTCCTTGTAGCCCACCGTCAAACCCGCTGCCTTGCGGTCAGGTTTTTGAACCAAAGGCTTTGGTTGAGAACCCTAATCGTTCTCCTGTTTAGGCCTGGGCAACCTAACAGTATCCTGCGCACGCAATACCATGAATCTTACCTCAAACAAATTGCTGATGCTCTGGCCACCGCAGACGATAATCAACGGTGTCCTATCTGCTGCATCGTGCAGAGTGGATAGGGGTTTGGATGCTACTGCTCAAGCCTTCCCGTCTTCTTATTCCCCCTCTTACGCCTTTTCCCTCTTACTATCCCGTTCCAACTTCATTTTTATCCCCCTTGTTTTCAACCCCCCGATTCTTGGCCCTCCCCCAACATGCTTTGCTAAACATTTATCTTCTAATTTCAACTCACATGCTGACGCGGAGCGTCACTCCTCTACTGTCAACAAGCCCATGTCCAACCAAGCGGTCCATTCCAAATGATCGGCTTCCATTTGGAGCCCTCGATCCTCCTTCAGATTGACATGCCTCAGTGTACACACATCGCTACAGATCGGTCTACAGGCAGCACTTGTCCGAACATTAGATACCCTCTCAATCGATATCTGCTGCTTATCGGAGACCCGCCTGCAAGACTCTGTGCTCACTTTGCGATCCCCTTCAGGTGACACCAGCAGCACTTTCTCATTGCGCCTCTCCGGTGACGATGCAGCTTCGAGCACCGGCAAAGCTGGTGTTGGCATTGCCCTGAGTCCCCGGGCTGAAGCTGCTCTGGTTGATTGGATTCCAATCAGTAGCCGGATGTGTGCGGTCCGATTGGCTGGCTCGTTTAAAGCTTCGAAGTCGTGCGGGACTAAAAGGTATCTATTCATCATCGCTGCCTACGCGCCCACAAACTGTAGCGATGATTCGGTAAAGAATGACTTCTACCGCCAAATGACTCAGCTCCTTCGCCATAGAAGAAGCATGGACACTGTTGTGCTGACGGGGGATATGAACGCACAAATTGGAAAGTTGTCCACTGATGAAATGCATCTGGGCGGTCAGCACGATGTAGGCTCCCGTAATGATAACGGTGAGCCGTTACTTCATTTGTGTGAAGATGCTCGCTTATTTCTTGCGAGCACTAATTTCCGACAAAGCACCCGCCGGAGGGTGACTTGGCGCCCACCAGCCTCGAACCTGCCTTGGACGCAGATCGATCACATTGCTATCAGTTACCGCTGGAGAGGCTGCATCCAGAATTGTCGCTCGATTTGGAGCACATGTGTGGACACCGATCATGCACTTGTATGTGCTGACATACGGATGCGTTTTGACGGACGCCCACGACGACGCTGTGAGCGCATTGACACCAGCCAACTGACGAAGCCAGCTGTTCTGAATGCGTATCAAAGTACGCTGATATGCGAGTTGGGTAGTCGCTCACTGGAGACAATTGATGGTCACTGGTCACATGTTCGCCAGACCTTACTAGCAGCGGGCAAATCCTCATGTGGTATGTCTAATAACCAAGATGGACATTGGGTCTCTTCTCGGTCTCTGGAACTTATCGATGCTCGCCGGCATATCCCGGCTGGAAGCGAGCACAATGAAACTCGCAAGAGCTCCGGGCAAAACTCCGTGCTAGCCTGAAGAGAGACCGCGAATCTTGGTGGTCTCATCATGCGTCAGAGATGGAAGTGGCCGCTGCCCTTGGCAACCATCGTAAGTTATTCCGTCTGGTACGGGAAACGGGCAGCAGGAGACCTGATGTTAGTGAAACAATTTGTGATGAGAGTGGACAGCCTATCCACAATTTGTCAAAACGTTTGGAGCGTTGGGCTGAGCATTTTGAAAAGCAATTTAATCGGCTAGAATTGTTCGATTCGCCGGTCACTGATCACCCTGCTCCGTGGGCTGTCCCTTTGGATCCACCCTCTCGCTCAGAAGTCGAACGTGAGATCGAACTGTTGAAGTTGAACAAAGCCGCGGGACCAGATGATCTTCCTCCAGCCCTCTTCAAATTCGGAGGCTCTGCTCTTGTTGATGCTTTACATGAATTACTAGTGAAACTGTGGGAGCAGGAGACTGCCGCAACCGACTAGAGCCGCTCCGTTATTGTTCCCATCTTCAAAGCGGCTCGCGCTCGGAATGCGGCAACCATAGAGGAATCAGTCTGATCTCCATCGCCTCCAAATTACTCGCCTCCATAATTCTTCACAGACTGACTGGCGCTCGTGAAAGCCAGATTCGTGAGGAGCAAGCCGGGTTTCGTCGGGATCATGGCTGCATCGACCACATCTTCACCTTTCGTCAGTTGTTGGAGCACCGCCACACATATTGGCGGCCCACCGTTGTCGTGTTCCTCGACATCAAAGGTGTCTTTGATTCGGTTGATCGATGTGCCCTTTGGAATTGTTTACTCAGGAAAGGTGTGCCCGAGAAATATGGAAATATTATCCAAGCATTATATTTGCATAGCACGGGCAGAGTGAGGGTTTACGGCAAGCTGTCGCCACCCTTCAATATCTCCAGCGGTGTGAGACAAGGATGCCCGCTGTCACCTTTCCTCTCCAACTTCGCTATTGACGAAGCCATGGAGTTTGCATTTACAGGACATGACTTGGAAGGTGTGGAGCTACTCCCAGGAGAACGACTTCTTGACCTGGATTATGCAGACGACATTGCCCTCATCTGTGACAGCTCCCAGACGTGGCAAGCCGCGCTGGGCAGGTTAGCACTGGCTGTCAGCCGCTGGGGCTTTACTTTGCACTCTCGAAGTGCAATGCGTTCCTCCAAGATTGGCAGGGATCCCCTCCTGCGCTGACCCTTGGTGGGGATCAGCTAGAAGTCATTCGGAAATTCGATTACCTGGGAAGTTGTATCAGCGCCCTTGGGATCGAAGACGAGATCACGAACCGTATAGCGAAAGCTTGAAGTGCTTTTGCTAACCTTCGCCACCTATGGCGGCGGCGCGACATTACTCTCGTCCTGAAGGGTAGAGTGTACAATGCAGCGGTACGTTCGACCCTACTGTACGGTTGCGAAACCTAGCCCCTAAGATCGGCGGACATGAAGAGGCTAGTTACGTTCGACCATCGGTGCCTTCGCAATTTTGCTCACATCCGGTGGGAACACCGCGTGAGTAACGAGCGTGTTCGACGCGTTGTTTACGGCCCAGGAAAAGGATCTGAACCGCTCAGCACCGTTATTTCCCGTTATTTCCAATGGCTGGGCCACGTTTTACGCATGCCAGCCCACCGACTCCCTCGACGTGCGTTGTTTGCTCACCGGGGATGTGGGTGGAAGAAGAGGAGAGGTGGCCAAGCGATGACTTGGTCCAGGGGAATGAAGTCCCTCACTTCGGAGCCAGCCTCGGTTGGAGCGTCACGGCTCCCTGGTTGGGGTCCAAAAGACGGTGAACACGTTTGGCTGGATACACTTGCTGACATGGCAAGGAGCCGACCTCAATGGCGTTCATGCTGTGAGTTTCTTTGTCCCTCCCCATCCCTTTTAGCCTCCCCATCCATCTACGATCTCATTTCCTAGGGTAAAATATAATATTTTTTTCTTTTTGCCTAGTAGCTGGCTGGTAGCTTACCGGAACGATGCCTATCCGTTGCTGGTAGCTCAGCTGGCATGCAACTGTTGTATCTATTTTTCCTTTGTGTATTGTATTATATGTATGTATGTATGTATTTCCTTCATGTATTGCGGCACAGTAGCGGAGGTGTTTTCCCACCTCTAGCTGACGTGTATAATGAATGACCGCGTTATGCGGCCCATTAACGAGCGGTATGTGCGTCGCGTGGTGAAGAAATTTGCAGAAACAGGCAGCGTTTGCAACACCAAAGAAACTGGACGGCCTCGCACCGTCACCGATGACGTATCAGCCTGTGCGGTTGCTCAGGAGTTATGCAGTCACACGCATCCCAACATTTGCCAGCTCTCACAACATTGCGAAACCACACCGTATGCTGTGCATATGATATTGAAGGACAAAATATTCCGACGGTACAGAGCTCTGTTATTGCAAGTGTCAAACACGTTTGATTCGCAGAAGCGCTTGGAATTCGCCCGTTTGTTTTTAAATAGTCTGGACGTGCATTCCATTTTGTTCGCCGATGAGGCCGTTTTCCCCCTGCATGGCCAAGATACGCAACAACCAACCCACGGCAATGTAGCGCTTCACGTCTGCAACATAGCGCGAAGCTCATGACCTGCGCTGCGTTGACTGGTAGAAAAATCATTGGGCCTATTTTCTTTTCCAGGAGTGTGTCCAGCAGGTTGTTGTTTAACAATACTAATGTCTGGCAATCTTAATATCCTCGTACATGGAAATGTTGCAGAGCATCGTCATTCCGCAGCTGCAGTCGGAAGGGTTAATGAACAACGTTTGGTGGCAGCAGGATGGCGCACCTGCAGATTAGGCGCAATCGGGTCGTACCTACCTGAACGAGGCATTTGGTGGACGTTGGATCGGTCGAGGAGGACCGATAGAATGGCCAGTGCGATCATCGGATTTGAGTCGCATGGACTTTTTCCTACGGGGATACTTGAAGCGCAGTTTATAGAACGAATCCAAAAAACCTCGATGAACTGAAAGAGAACATTGTGAACGAATGTAGACAGATTTCGTTCGAGACACTGCAGAAAGTGTTCGC